CTGTCAAACATGGCATGTAGAACTAGAACAGTCTACCCCAGTGAGCGAAATAAAGGGTTCAGTTCAACATTCCAACCACCTGAAGAAGGCCGGAGTGTACAACGGCCGAAACGTTGTAATAAATATGACGACAAAGATGAGGACAATAGTCCGAATAATGTAAATAATGTCCTGCTATTTACCTATAGCTGGAGGCAGAAGAAGAGGATTCATACCAACGGTATTAGCACATAATGGATTCAACTGGAATTTGAACTTTTCTCTCCAATTCCTCAATCCAAGTCACTATCCATTACTCCACCATGCCACATACTATGAAAGTATAAAAATAGATTTTTATAGTAAAAATACCAGCAATACATTTTGGAAAAAAATGTATTATCAGCAATACATTTTTGAAAACAAAATTATTACCAGCAATACATTTTTGAAAACAAAATTATTACCAGCAATACATTTCTGAAAACAAAATTATTACCAACAATACATTTCTGAAAACAAAATTATTACCAACAATACATTTCTGAAAACAAAATTATTACCAGCAATACATTTCTGAAAACAAAATTATTACCAACAATACATTTCTGAAAACAAAATTATTACCAACAATACATTTCTGAAAACAAAATTATTACCAGCAATGCATTCTTAAAAAGAAAGAAGAGAATATTACCAACAATACCCTCGACAAAAACCCTCTTTACAAAAATGTGTCAATGAAACCTGATCTACAAACTGATTTCTTACAAAGGATACATATTCTATTCATATGAATCTATTTTAAAAATCTTGTCAGCATTAAATAACCCATTGAAGTGTTGATATGCCATAAAACAAAATAAAGCAAACCAAAACCAAAATTCAAAGGCACATTGCAATAGCAAAAGGTGTCTTCCAAAAGCTAAGCAAAGAATTAAGGAACAAGAAAACTTCATTATAAATAAAGAAAAGAGTGCTGAACTTTCATCCTCCTCTATGTCAGTGAGTAATGGACAATTTTCTCTCAGATGAAGAAGAGAATTAACAGGTAAGAGAAGTTCTATAAAAGTCTAGGAATACCATGAACATGTGAGCAACAAGCAAGTTTTAAAGAAAATGGAAATGAAAAGGTTACTTATACTCAGAATCAAACAGAGAAAACTGAAAATCTTTTGAACACAATGAAAAAAAGTGCTTGGAGAATTTGACACTCAGAGGACATATTGAAGATCTGAGTGAAACAGTGAATAGCCAACCTAACAGGCTTGTGTAAATGAATGACAAAACAAGGAGTTGGTAAGAAAAGTAAAAAAAAAACAAATATTGCTAAGAGCTACATTGAACAGGAAGTTGTGGAGAGCCATGAATGTCTATGAAGGGACAAGGTGCATAAAAGATCATACTGGTGAAGCATGTATTATAATATCTTCATTTTTAGATCAGTTTTTATATGTTAAGTGTTACATATTGAATGGAAATTCGTTCATTTCTTTTAAGAACATTTTAATTACTTAATTTACATGTGAGTTTTAATTAACTAATTTTCGTTACCTCCCTTAGACCATGGTTCAAAAATTGTAATCCAATATTTTACTAATATTTTTCAAACAATAAATAAGAAATACAGAATTAATTCATTATAATGAGAAACATCAACTCAGGATTAATTTGATTTAACTTTTTCTAAAAGTCTTACACTGCTTGCTTTGTTTCGTTTTCTCATTTTTTTAACAATTTCTAACCAAAAAATAATAAAATGTAATATTTTTTTCAAAATTCACATCTAAAAGCATTTGGTTAATGTTTTGATAATGATCTAATCCTTCATTTCTAGAAATCATGAAAAGTATCTATTTTACTTATGTGTGTGTGTAAGAAGATTTAAGAAACAGCAGATATTTTTATATATAGTACTCAATATTAAAAATATTAAAATAATATTAAAAATAGAACATTAATAATAATATACGAAAAGATTACTTTTAAATATCAATTTTATTTTAACTGGAAATTTTACCAAGAAACTTCAGAGTCAGGATAAAATTGATATTTAAAACTTAAGTAATCTTTGCATGTAATATTATATATAATAAGGAAAAGACTTAATTAGTCATCATGCTATTCTCAGTGGGTACATGTATTTGAGTTGCTAACTGTGCATCCCCTCAATAAGTAATTCAAATGAAAAGGAATAACAAACATGCTTTGTTCTCAGAGAGACTTTTATACAACTAAAGCATACAAAAAACTATATATACATATATACATTGAGAATAATATATCATAGTGAGCAGAGTGTAAAGAGAAACAAAAAGGAAGGATCTTACATATAATATGGAGATACTTCTGCTGTGTCTGGTGAAGCCATGTTTAAAATTCCAGATTCAAACGAACTGGATTCATCTACTCTGTCCCAGGTTGGACATCTTACTCAACAGGGAAAATGAAAAGTTTTGGGTTTTCCCAATTTGAGGACTGTGAACTGGAGTTTCTTTCTATATCTGGGAAAGATATATTTCCAAATGGAAATGGCATCATGGACTTGTAAACTGCAGCATTTGCTGGAGGAGACAGATTTATTATATGAGACTGAAGCATTTCTCCACAACATACAAATTAGCAAACTACCTTAGTAGTGAGTTTATTCCACACTGCCTTATACCTGACTTGAGGATTTGTGCTAAATTAATTGCTCTATGTTTAGTAAATTTCAATTTTTATCAAATTCTGTTTCTCTTAAGAATGTTTACTATATTTCATAAACTGCTTTCCAGATTAAAAAAAAAAAAAAAAACTAAATCATTATAATTTATTTTCCAGCAGAAAAGGCAAACTGTTTTCAAGATACAGCCATAATTTCAGCAGCTTAAGAAAAAAAATTTCTCTGTAATTATATATAGGCCTATAAAAAGATGTATTTAACATCTTGTATGCAGAGGAAATTTTCATGGTTTCCTAAGAAAAGCAAAGTAGCATCTTTGATAGTGAGAAAAACTTTTAACATATTCTTGTTGTTTACTCCAGAGATGTTATCTACTTAAAAACAATTCTTAATGAAATATTATATATAAATTACTTGCATGCAAGGTAATATTTAGAATAAGGGTGATGTACTTAGACTAGTGTCCTCATCTTATTTGTTATATTAATATAATTATTAATCTTCTTAGAATTTCAAACCAAACCCTTTATTCAATCTACATGGATAAATTATTCCCATTCCATTGTCCAATGCCAGAAGATATCTCAAATGAATTAAATCTTTCTTGTACATTTGTCTTTGTAATATTTGTTGTTTTTTCCTCTGAACCAGAATAGTTAATTCTTATCTTCTACCATAGATGACAGAATTAAAACAACCTACCCAACTCTACAGGCTGAACAAAAGGTTTGATTTTTAAATTCCCAGAAGGTTACTAACTACAACGGACACCTGAAGAAGGCCTTAAACTTATGGTGATTGGAACATTTTATTTATAACAGTCAACATGTGGACACTAGTCCAAGTAAATTAGTGTATAAAATTGATAGTTACTCTACTGAAAAATTCTGACAGTGATTAAAAACTTATCTCTACTATTTGTTTCTTTTTTATATATTATATATATCCTTTTAATTTTTATTTATTTTTATTTATTGTTTCTTTTTGTTTGTTTGTTTGACACAACTGAAACTAGTTTGTTTATAAAAAGTAGGGAAATTTTTTGTGATTAATTTTTGTTGATAATTGTTCTTTGGATCCCCCCTAAATACAACATTTTTTCAGAATTAAAAAAATATTGATGTTTTTCCTCATTTTAGAAGGGAGAGGTGGTCATGTTCATAAAAGAAATAAAATGCCATATCAATCCCTGATATTTTAAACAGTTATCTTTACCTTGTCTTTATTTACAAATATCATATTTGAAACTGAGACGACATCATTGATAACTACTAATGATTTCTCAATTTTTCCACTAGGGTACAGTTTAGCATTTAAGATAAACACAGGGTGTAGCAGAAATACCTTCCAGAAATACCTCCCGCATATACTTCCTAAAAATGCCTCCCACAATTATTTCCCACATATACCTCCTAGAAATCCTACTCACATATACCTTTAAGAAATACCTCCCACATATAGCTTCCAGAAATACCTCTTACATATACCTCCCACAAATACCACCCACATATACCTCCCAGAAATACCTCTCACATATACCTCCTAGAAATACCACCCACATATACCTCCTAGAAATACCACCCACATATACCTCCTAGAAATGCTTTTCACATTTACCTCCCATATATACTTCCCACATATATCTCCCAGTAATACCTCCTACATATACATCCCAGAAAAAACTTCCAGAATTACCACCCACATATATCTCCTGGAAATGCCTCTCACTTATACCTCCCAGAAATACTTACCACATAATGGTTAGACATTAGTAGCAATACTGCATTCATGTAGCTAATATCTTATGTGGGAAGTATTTCAGCTACACCCTGTATTTATCTCTCTTTGTTTGTACAATAATAATTATTCTCTAATAAAGCCAAACTCAAAAATAGAAACTACATTAATATATTTTTCAAAAGTTTATTTGAAAAATGAATAAAACCCATAATTGGGAAAAAAGACAAAATCAGTAACAAACATTGTTACAATGACATATACCAGTTTCATTCTTTACATTTATAAATGTATGACTCTTTTTTTTTTAAAAAGTCAGGGATTGATTTCACACTGTATTTATATTATAAACAGGACCCCCACTTCCTAAAATGCCAAAAAAATATATATTTTTTTTATTATGACAAATGTTTGTGCTTAAGGCAAGGGTTAATGGATACTAATCAGCAAAAGTTAGTCATAATTTCTCTATTTTTAAGTGAACCAATTTCTCACAGTCATCCCAAATATTGTTTTTATTGTGTTTTTTTTTTTTGCACATTTTTATTTTATTTTAATCCCTTAAACATTTCATGTGTTTTTTGTTTTTTTTTTTTTTTTGCATTTATTGTAATTTCAGTTGGAATCTTTCTTCGCTATACCCCGTTCTGAGAAAAAGTTTGCCCCACGAAAAGAAAAGTCATTCAAGTCTCTACTCAGTGTATGTGAGGTGGAGTTGATCTTTTTCAATGTCACTGCTATATTGATATTTTGGTTTGTCTATACAATGGGCAAACACTCTCTAGTCATAAATGGGCAACAAACTTATTAATGCTTTTCTCAAGCTCCACTAACAAAAGCTAGTTTTGCAAATATATTCTATTTTATTAACAAAATACTTACAAATATATTTAACTCTCTAATAATCTGCTTCAGAAAAAATAGCTTCTAAAAAAATGTTGCTACTAAAGACATATTTTAACATCTAAGAATTTAGTAAACTTCCAATATGAATGCATATTTTTTAAAACAACTAAAGAAGGTAAGACAAGTTAATGAAAGCAATAAACTTATTAACTTCGCTTCAATTAATCCCAAACTAACCTTTTAAAAAAATCACTAGATTCTACTAAAATTAATCTTAATTCTTCTTTATTATCTAATAATGTGGAAATCAAAATCTTATTTTATTATTTTTGTCTATTGATGGCACTTCCATTGATTTTTATTTGTTTTCAATTTGACCATATTGCTTGTGAATAGAAAATTATATCCCAGTGCAGAAGTATTTATACTTATAAATGCACATGAAAGCAGTGGGTAGAGGGTTCGAAAAAAATCTTCAGTTCAACCTACTTACCAAAATCATTATTTCAACAACCAAATGTCAAAATAATTGTAGGTATGGTCAAAAGATTTCCAGATACCCGTGTGTGTGTATATATATGTGTGTGTGTGTGTGTACATATATATATATATATATATATATATATATATTTTTTTTTATAAAAAAAATTATAACATAACTATAGCTTAATTTAAGGGTATTAGGATTAAATATTTTACTAAGTGGGTTAGTTTCAGGGTTGGGGAAACGTTTTTTGATGAGGTTTAGAAATATACGCCCTAATTTAGTTTTAACCATTATATTGAAAGGGGGAGTGAACCAAATAATCTTTCTAGATCTTCTTTTCTTATTATGGTTGCAATTAACAGGGTTTTTATATTGAATAGTGGTATTTTTGTATCCACTATTTTTTAGTGCAGAATTGTAAAAATCACTATGTTTATTATAAGAGTTAGCACTAATTCTAAATTCAATGGAAGAGTGTATATGTTTGATAATTGAAGGGGGATGGTTGGAATTAGGATGCACGTATATTGGGTTGGAATTAACCTTCACATATGGTTGGAAAATGTTGTTAGCAAGGTCTAGGGTGACATCTAGAAAATCCACTTGTCTAACATTAGTAGTAACTATTGTACTTACTATTGTAGTTACTACTAATGTAGTATATATATATATATATATATATATATATATATATATATATATATATATATATATATATGAGATGAAGGTCAAATATGGATCAGAATTTGACAAGATAAGTTAAAGAACAAATAGGAAATGTATATCAGTCTAACATGTTTCAGTTTTATTAAAGCAATCAGAAATTGAGAAAATAGAAAAAAAGACAGAAACTTTGATATTAACAATTTTGTTTAGTTCAGTCCTCATTGGTCAGTCATGTATCATATACATTAAAACTATAGATAATTCTATATGTATGTAAGTTTGTAAAGATTTTCATAATCATCTATGCTTTTAATGAAACATGACTGACCAATGAGAACTGACCCAAACAAAATTGAAAATACCAAAGTTTCTGTCTTTTTCTCTGTTCTCATATATATATATATATATATATATATATATATATATATATATATATCCTCTGATAGACTTTATCAAGGCAAATGTAAGGATTTTATTTTGCAACAAGTATTTATAAACAAAAACAAACATAAATATTCATTAGGCTAACTGAAAAGTCAATGTAAATTATGATGTATGTTACAGGACTTTTGTCATTATTTATATTGTCCTTTCATAGATCTATTTTTAAGTCATATCAGAATTTTATGAATTATATATATATATATACATATATATATATATATATATATATATATATATATATATATATATATATATATATATATAGGTATATGCAGAAAATAGAAAAGAACACGTTAGGTGCATAATCCAGGGTTCCTTAGTATTTTTGGTTTATTTTTAAGAAGACAATGCTCCATACAGAAGTAGAGCTTTATTATAATAATAATATTTTTTGATTAAAAATATGATTCCTTCGCTACATAAGAGTTCTCATGTTTCAAAAACGAGAGCCGAAACCATCCAAATAATTATTAAAAGTTAAGTTGAATTGTGGTGTTTAGTCCCGTTTCATCTTCAAGCGAAATTTTAGGAATAACCTATTATTTCTAAAATTTCACTCAGGTACAGATTCACCATTCAGCACTGCCCTGGGAAATGGCACAGAGCCTCCGATGCTGTCTCTCGTAACCCAGCAGACATCTCACAGGCACTCCTAAATGTATTCACTGCTGAACCCTCTCAATCAGACATCGTAGAGTGTGACAACATGGATGACTGGGTCAAATCAACAACCCTATTAGCAACATTCTGTGCAAATGACAACCTGGAGCTCATCTCACCAGACATTATTCGTGCGGTGGGACGCAGCGACCCGCAATACAAAAAATTAATTGAAGTAATACAAAACGGATTCCAAAGGACGCGCATCCTCACTGCACCTGAAATCCGCGAATACTGGGAAGTGAGGAACCGCCTAAGTGTTGACGACGGGTTAGTGCTCTTAGATCAAAAGAATCGTTATCCCCACCTCACAACGCGCAAAAAATATTACATAGCCTACATTCTGCATACCAAGGCGAAGTTGGCATGAAGGCACGTGCCAATGAATCTGTTTATTGGCCTGGGATGAATGCTTCAATTAAACAACATTAGAGCAGGTTGTACGTTCTGCTCAAAATTGCCCCGAGTCAACCAAAAGAGCCAATCAATTTGACACCATCTCCTGATTGGCCATTTCAGCAAATCGTCATGGACATCTTCCATGTTGGGAACCATGGTTACTTAGCATGCGCTGACAGGTTAACAGGCTGGCTGAATCTATACCACTTGAGCCACGGAGAAGCTAATGCCTCAAGGATTATTTCGATTTGCGAGACATATTTCAAACCTACGGCGCTCCTGAGGAACTCAGCACTGATGGTGGGCCACCCTTCACATCTCTTCCATTCAAGCAATTTTTGCAAGACTAGGCTGTTAAACAAAGGTTAACATATGCTGGTTACCTACAATCCAATGGTCGAGCAGAGCTCGCTGTCAAAACAGCCAAGAGAATCATAAATGGCAACACAGGAGCCCAGGGATCGTTGGACAATAATCGTGCAGCAAGAGCCATCCTCCAATACAGGAATATGCCCATTCAAAACATTGGGCTATCCCCTGCTCAACTACTACTCCACTGCCAACTACGTGACTACATACCACCCGAGACCCCTACACCAGTGCCACAAACATTTGACGCTGGAATAACATCAAACACTGCTCAGCTGTCTACAATAACACGGACAAAAACCCCTCGGGCTTTATTCTACATTCAACGCCATCACTTGATAAGACACCAGAAATGCTGAAACAAAATGGCTATTTTTGTAGTGATTTTATAACATATTTATGTTATAATTTTTGAATAAATAATTATATATATATATATTTATATGTGTGTGTGTGTGTGTATATGTATATGTGTCTATATATATATATATATATATATATATATATATATATATATGTATGTGTGTGTGTGTATACATATATGTATATATATATATATATATATATATATATATATATATATATATGTGTGTATATATACGTATATATGTGTGTATATATATATATATATATGTGTATATATATGTATACATATATGTGTGTATATGTATATATATATATATATACATATATGTGTGTGTATATATATATATATATATACACACACACAATTTGCATAAAAATGAAACTCTATTACCTAATTCAGATGCTCATTTCACCCCAGGATATTCTCCCTGGGGCTTGTCAATACAAAACGTTTGTTAAAAAAAAAAGAGTTTCATTTTTATGTAATTCATTTATATGCTCTATGGTAAAATATATTGAGCTGTCTTTTGTGGGTCAGTTTTGATATTTTATATTATTAGTATCTACTTGGATTACTTACCCATAGATTTTTACCTATATATATATATATATATATATATATATATTGTTAGATTTTATATTTAAGTTAATGTTTTCATTATAAAGTTTGTATTAACAAAGCAATATTGGTCAAATGTTATTTATATGATAAACATATCATTTGAATTTCAGCTTATATCTGTTTTCTTAGAAATATTTACACTAATATATAAGGTGGTGTAAACTTTTATTATGCAAACTAATATGTTGTTCATCTTATTGTAAATAAATATATATATAATAGTATATTTATTGTCATTTATTTTTTAATTTCAGTTATATAAAAATTGCCATGCATCATAAGAAAGATATATGGTATTTTCTCTCAGAAACTAAAATTAATGATTAGAACACAACATTGAAAATTATGTAAATAAGATCAAAGATCATAAAAAAATCAATAAAAGATTTAAAATCTTTATTTTGTTTAAAATGTATTTAAAGATTGAAAATCCACAACAGAAACCTAAAAACATTGACAAGATCCAGAAAAAAAAAACACTGACTAATGTTTCAAAGAGAAATTTGAGAAAAATTGCAAAGGTTAATACATAAGAAATATTGATTGACTATCAAAAAAATAATTGGGAATATTAGCATGAAAGTAATAAAATTGCTACCCTTAGGACAGATGTTTTGTCTAGAGGTTGGGTCTTTCATGTAAATAATTGACCAACTAGAAAACAAGTGAAGTAATGTTTTAGGTTAATATTGTAAGTACTAAAATTATACATCCCTTCAAAGTCAATAATAAATGCAGAGTTAAATATAGATAGATTTCTCTCCAACATTTTGATTGAAAAAAATTCAGTCGGAAATGTTTAATTTAAGAAATCTTTAAAAACTATTTCCATCTTTTGTAT